TTATTCAAAAATTGTTTACGCACTAACCAAGAATTTCCATACAATTTTAAGATTTGTCAAATTCAAAGTCACGTTGTTAGTGGCAGAGGATTGCAGTGAGTAGGTTTAACTTAATGTTTTTATAAGTATTTAACAATTTTTATTACAGGAACCTTCGAGTGAGTGTTACTTGATGTGTGTTAGGTGGTCGTGTTGTGTTTAGTAGGCAGCTATACCCACGACGTTGTAACGATCAAATTTTAATTAATAAAACTTTGTGTCGTTACAAACTGTTAGATTAGATTTCAAACGGATTGGGAACTTGTCATCACTTCACTGCATTATTTGAGGATTACTGTTGCAAGCCCACTTTAGTTCCATAGATGAGTAGCAGTTAAAAAGGCCATGATATCTTTTGAAGGGATGTTGTCTGAGTCTGGCGAAACTATCATAGTGATACAGAATGTGTTCTGCTGTTTCCTCTTCTTCGTAACAAAGTCTGCAGCTATTGTCTGTTGTAATACCTAGATTCGACAGATGCTTTTTTAGTCCGCAATGTCCAGTGAGAAACCCTATGACAAGTCGGATAGCATTTCTGTTCAGCATTAGAAGATTCCTCGTTCTGCCTTTTGATCGATTCGCCATGAATTGTCTGCAGGCAATTTCATTATCTCAATCAGTCTGAGATGCTATTACCAGACATGCATTAATTTTAAGTTTGAAGAAGCTCAATAACGGACCGCAGAATGGTTGTAGTCCAATATAATATGAGGTCGCTCCTTATCTGGTTAGTTCATTTGCTTTCTCATTTCCCTCGAATCCTCTGTGCTCTGGGATCGATATTAAATAAACCCTGTTCCTTTCAGAAGGTCTTTGTGAAGTTGAAGACATTTCCACAATAATTTTGAGGTCACTTGATGTGAGCGTAGTTCTTGGAATGCTGATTTGATGTCAGAGAAATTATATATGTTTTTTCCCGTGATGGGTTTCCCTTTATATACTCTTAGACATAGTTTAACTTCTAAAAAACTAAGAAAAACTAAAACTAAATTTTCTTGACTCATATAATAGCAAATAATTCCTTCTTTAGAAATTATTCACACTCTTCACCCTTCCTTCGTTTTGGAGCCTTCCTTGAACAACAGATGGTAGTCTCCAACGAATAAAGAAATGTTCCGTTCCCCGTCATTCCTGTGTGGTATTAGTACTAGGCACTTTTGGTGGAAGTACAAGTTAGGTAATGATAATAAAACATCAAGTAAGAGCACTGTTCAATGTTAAGTTGCTTAATATATGAACATATGCTAAGTTGATTACACTGGTACTAGATTTAAATGCCAACAGGCTGCATTTAAATATAGTGTGTCTTTAAGTTACGCCGTTTCGTACACCCCAGTCTCTGGATACAAACACTTTAAGTTAAATATCCGCTTTGGTAAGAACCCAACGTTGCGAAAAGAATTTGATTTGTATATTTGTTGATGAATCCAAATAATTATTGAACAAGCATATATTATGCCAAGTATCCGATATCGTCAAATACTTATCATCATGGATGAATATTCAAACTTTGAGTGTTAAAGCTGCTTACAGATATAGGATTATGCAACAAGTGATAATTGCAATTACGGTACGAAGTATGCAAACTGGCTGAGGCAAACATTTTTGAAAATTTAATATCAAGCAAGGTATTACATAAGCGACAACCTGCCAGCATCACTTTTCCTAATGTTCATATCTCCAATCTTGTTGACATCAGACAATTCTTATATTTCTTCGTTGTAGTATTTAGATGTACGAATATTAGCAATATATATACTTTGACAACCTATCAATTTAATCCAGCATATATAATCAAATATGTAAGGCACTAGAATTCCACTTCTAAAGCCTAGGGTCGTTGTCATACTCATATGTGGCAGCTAAGAATTTGACTTATAGATACATATACGACCGAAACGTAAATTATACCAACTGATTCACACGAACATGCCTCAAATAGGCATAACATAAAAAAGGTATTTGAATGACCCTCTCATATCTGTATCCATTGTTTCCAATCTGTTCCTGCCTAGAATGAAATTCATTTAATTCACTTCACTTATTTTATTATTCGTTTTATTAGCACGGTCAAGTTCAGTCCTATTCATCTAGTTATGAAAATAACAGGTTATTGGAAAGCGTGCGGTGACTACTGTAGAATAAACATTACGATCAATACAGGTCGGTCTTTAACGTCTTCACGTTTCCTAAGATTGACATTTTATAACAGGGCTGTCCAAAGCACGGCCCACTGGCCACATGCAGCTCACGGATAATATATGTGCGGCCCGTGACATATTTCTATTCTACCACAATTACGCAGATTTTCTCTTGACATGTTTTGGTTAAATCATATTATTTTATTTTTATGATATCCACAAAAATTGAACTCAAATGAATAAATTAATAAAACTTAATTTCATATTATCACAATATTTGTCTCCATTGCACAGTGACTTGTACTGGCCCGCGATCGTATCTACCATAGTTTCGATAGCATTGTTCTAGACAATAGCATCTAAAAGCATATAAGAGAATTTCCGATTCATACTTTTTACGTCGTTCAAAAACTATATAAGTTTAGTTTTGAAATTTAAGAGGATAGCAATTTAAGATAAAAGCCCATTAGCTAATGACCAAAATTTCATTAGTATAATAAACTCACTTCACAATAAAAATAAAAATTATGAAATAAAAATGTAAATTAAGCGGATTTGGAACGGTGTGCCACTTGTCAAGCAGATAAATGTATACATTCTTATTTTAAATGTATATTTGACAAAATCGATCCATCTTCTAGATAAAGGTAATAAAAGATGAATTCGAATACAATGAACATAGGACTTTTATTAAGTAGCCAATTTGGGGTTAATTTCAAAAACGATCATATATTCCAAATAAAAAACTCTACGCCATACATATTACGAGCTACTTTTAAAAGCTAAAGCTATATGTCTAAATAATACACAAAAAATTATAGCTTTTACTTAGCCGAAGCTTCTATACCTATCATTAAGAGAGCTGGGTTACAAATCAATTATTTACTATTTACTAAGTTTCTTTAGCAATCTTCGTCTTATTCATATGGATTTGATATGTTTGATTTACAAAAAATTGTTGTGCAAAGTTTAATTCAATTAATTCAAAAACTGAGAAAAAAGTATTCCAATTAACATACACACAAATAAACAGGCACACGCATTCACAGACGGGGAGACTTAAGGGAATTTCAAAGAATATAAGCGGATCATATGGTCTCAAACGTCTTTTTCGCTGAGTTTCAAAAATGTTTAATAATCTCAATACACCACTTATACACAATAGTGCCAAGAGCGTATATATGAAGCGATATATATGAAGCCAAGAACCTGGACAAGAACATCATTTTATTTTTATTTAATTTTATCAGTTCATTTATTTTATTTAAATAAATTTCACTGATAAAGTTTGTGATGACAGGTGTTTTGCAAATTTGAAACATATTTTAGCTGTATCTGCCCTGCCCTATACATTCGTAGCTACAATAAGTATAAGATTTAATATTGATCCTTTTTCAGATATTTTAATGGTCTATGCGGATGTAATGAATAACATTCATTGATAAAAAGATGAAAAAAAAATCAACTGGCAGGTTTATATAGTAAATACTTAACATTTTTAATTAACTGGATTTCGAATTAGTTTTCAGACGAATAATGTGTCTTTTTATGAACATTTTACATGAGTAAGGGCGTCAGTTCACTACAGCTGCAATAGCAGGGCCTATTCAAACAGAGTATGAATCATTATCTATTCCACTTGCCTATGCCTAATCGTTTTAATTCTTAACTTATATTTTAATAGAGCTTAAATTGTTAATATTACAGAACGCATAAGTACTATTATTAATAATATGCAGCAACGGTACAATCTTATATGTTTCAATCGTGAACTGTAATTTTTTCTGTTTGTGTTGCTTATCGAGAACTCTTAGTTCTCTTCTCAAATATTCAAATTCTTAACGAATTGTTAAAATACGTATTTTTTTTCGTTTTATTGTTGAAATTAAAACTTCCTAATTCAAATATTTTCTAATTCTATTTAATAAATTTTTGTCTCATTAGAGCGGATTTTTAGGTGTTCATATACCCGTGTATTAGGTATTTATAGATAATAGAACCGTTTTTAAAGTATATAAAAATTTTTATTTATTTATTATGTGATGTGATTAATTTTTTCTCTCAAACGTTTTTCCTGTTTATTTCCATCAATTATGTACATTTTTCTTACTATGAACCTGTTATTGCAATTTTTCTAACATTAAGATACAATTTCTTTTATAATAATATGTAATATATATTATATATCAAGAATTAATACAGTTTTATTTGACGGTTGAACTTTTTTTATGGTATCATACACATATGTTAATTAATAATATATGCAAATAAAGCATTTTTTTCATCGTCTTTACTCAATTTTAATTTCTCTTCAAAAAATATATGTCGTTACCCTACAATTGTATCCGCTCTTTGTCGAACTCTCCTTACAAGATCCTTTTCATAAAATCTCTATTCTGATCTCTAATTAATAATATGTACATATGCTTATTATCAAAAATACTTAATGAATTAAAATCTTAGTTATACAAACAACTTAGTGAATGTAATTACGTTGGATCGTCTAACTCTAATAAAAGAGATAGCATAGCACTTAATCATGTAATCAATTTGTATATATTGAGCCCTTAATTATGTTTATATGTACATATTCATTTGCAAAGCACCTACTAACAGTTGCCAAGACAAGATGAAACGAAGAGAACATTAATCTTATTACTAAATTTTCGTCTGTGAGTACGAGTGTACACATTTATTCAGAATTTTTAAAATAACTTATTTAAATAATGTCAGTGGTTGTGTTATCATTGTTGTCTCTCGTTTACTTCACTTCAAATTGACAGCAAGAGTCTATATAAGGTTTTGATGATATTCAAATAATAACTTAATTTAAAGTTGTCGTTGCATTCGGTGTATGCGGCTGGGGAAGCAGTCCCTATTATATTAAATTTTTGATTTCAATGAAATACATAGTTTGCAGTGAATGAAATACGATTGTTACGATACGGGTAAAATCGAAAAGGGAAAAGGTATTTAATTAATAATGAATATTAATAATTAATGCAAAATAAAATAAAATAATGGAATATCTAAGAATTCGTCTCGATGAGTGTGAATAAGGTTTTTAATCTTATTAAAAAGTAGCCTTAACAAATTTTTAAATGTTGGACATAGTTTTGTGATGTGAATTGTTTAAAATTTTTGTTAAAAAATAGTACAACCGTACGCCTTTTAAAATAATTATTATGGAATTATTTTCCCATTAAACTTTAAACTTATAATTACATTAAATGAAACAGTTGTAAATCTCATTAAACGGGCACATAAGTTTATATACTTTGTAAAGTTGACATTTGTTATCACAAATTTTATGCAGTAAGTACCTTTTTAAGGAACAGAAAGTGTGTATTGAGTTCAATTTGCCATTAAAGCCAGATCAAAAAAATTATAAAAAACGATTTATACAAACTCACGTTTAATACATCACGGAATAGGGAAAATGCCACTCGCTAATCAGAGCCTAGTAAGACCTCTATATTTCAGGACAGTATCCAGCAGAACGAATATTTTTTTGTTGACCAAGAAGACTTTGCTGAGCCTACATAAATTGGATATAAATAATTTATTTTCTGCGAGAAAATGCATCAAAAGACAAAATATTTTAAAAAAATAGCGAGTTATATATTTTGTCGAAAATCAAGCTTCTTACAAACACACATAAATGTTTTAGTGGATATACAAGTACAATATACCTACATGGAGTCAGAACTTAGTTTAATTGAAAATGATAAAGCTATGTAACCTGGAGATTTAAATTTAAATTTAAAAAGTATAGTGAATAAAATAATCAAATATAACAATCTGTTGAAAACCTTTCCCAAAGCAGAAAGACACGGCTGTTACGATTCTAGTTATAGAATAAAATATTCTCTTTAATAATTTATAGAGATTATCTAATAGATCATTTAGAATAAGTTTGAGAATTGTATTGTATTAAAAATGTTTGATTTCAATAAATGTAAATGCACACTATTTAATGATTAACTCTTAAAACACTTTACAGTGTACGCAAGATGAAGGCACAAAAAACGTGTCAAATGGGCCATCTCCTAATTCATGGTTTGGTTTTTGTTATTCTGCTTACTCCATCAGTTATTAATGCAGGTAACTTATTTTTAATTAAAACAAAATCAAAAACTATAATTAAATAAATTTTTCTTTAGAATCTGCATGTCAGAAAGGATGTTTGCAATGTAAGTATAATCGCGTTGTTCGATATGCATAAATTAAAATTTTGGATTTCGGTTTTTTGATTTTATTAGCTGACAGTGGACCACTTAAATATGTTCCTGGTAATGTTTATGAATATGCTTTTGATAGTATGATGACAGTGAGTACAACATCAACTGGCCTAAACTCAAATAATGATGATGACACTAGTTTGAAAATGGTCGGAACTGCCAAAATATTTGCAGAGGGAAATTGTGGGTATAACTTACAATTGAGCGCAATAAAAGTAACAGCAACAAAGAAAAAGGATTTCGACAAAAAGTTGTTGCAAAGTTTGCAGAAGCCAGTACATTTTACAATGAGCAGTGGAAAGATTGAACCAGAAATTTGTGCAGACTCTAGCGATACGGCTTATGCATTGAATATTAAGCGTGCTGTGATCTCCCTATTTCAGGCAAGCCCCAACTCGGAAAATGAAATTGATATATTTGGGCAATGCCCGACTCGTACGTCCGTTACACGAGTTGGCAATGCTGACGTTATATCGAAAGTACGAGACTTGAATAATTGTGCCCATCGTGAAAAAATCAACAGCGGTATTATATCTGGAATAATAAATGAAAGAGCTGGAATTAAATCAACAATGCTGCTGCAGTCTAATTATTTTAAAGAATTGCGGTTAGAGGATGGTGTTGTTGAAAACGTCCAATTGTCGGAAGAATATAAATTTAGTGGATCTCCAAAAGAAAGTCCTATTGTAAAAGCAAAAGTTATAACTAAACTGAAAATAAAAAATAAGGCTGGTAGTTCTGCTGCTTCACCACCTGTAGGTACTAAAGCTACTAGTATTATATATGATCAACCTGAAATTTATTCAGTCAAAAATTTGGCGGCACTTAAAAGTGCACTTTCGGACGTTGTAAAGTCTATTGAAAATTATGTGCAGAATGGCAGTGCAAAATATTTCGTTGAGTTAATACATTTGATGCGTAATGCCGATGCGGACACTTTGCTAGAATTGGGTTCAGTACCATATCCGAATAAAACATTGTCTCGAAAAGTGTACTTGGATGCATTATTTAGAACAGGTACTACAGAATCGGCAAAAGCAATTCTAAAACAATTTAATAAAATGGAAGATAAAGAAAAAAATTATGCAGTACTCTCATTGTATTTAATACAAGTGGTAGATAAGGAAACAGTGAATCAAGCAAGTGTAAGTATTTTCTAGCTATCTGAAACTTATAATATTTTACTTAACTTCACGTATAGCTAAATTCTTTTAATGCTTAATTATTTTGTAGACGTTACTGACACCAAATGCTTCAAAGGAGGTTTTCCTAGCAGTTGGAAATATTGTATCAAAATATTGTCATCGCAATGGCTGCGACAATGGTGAAATTGATTTGGTATCCCGGAAGTTCACGGATATGTTGAAAAATTGCAAAGTTAACACTCGAAAAGAAGAGGACAGGCTTGTATACTTATTGAAAGGTATTAACAACATGGATTATTTAGTTAATAATGTAGTTACTGCATTGGCACAATGCTCAAGTGCTGGTCGATCGACACGCCTACGAATAAGCGCACTACAAGCTTTCAAATCAGCCTCTTGCGATCCAGCACTTCAAAAACAAGCACTAAATATATTAAAGAACCGTAATGAAGATTCGGAAACTCGAATTGAAGCCTATCTAGCTGCAATAAATTGTCCAAGTGCTGAACTAGCAAACGAAATTGCTGAAGTAGTGAATTCTGAAACAATTTATCAAGTTGGAGGATTTATAACCTCAAATTTAAAAGCAATTCGAGATTCTACAGATGCTGCAAGGGAACAGCAACGACACCATTTTAGCAACATTCGAGTAACAAAGAACTTTCCAAAAGATTTAAGACGCTATAGCAATAACAATGAATTCTCATATAATTTTGATGCACTTGGTCTTAGTGCCAGCAGTGATTATAAACTTATTTATTCACAGCAAGGATTTTTACCTCGTTCAGCGCAATTAAATGTCACTGCAGAAGTTTTTGGAACAAATTTCAACATATTTGAAGCAAAAATTCGTCAAGAAAATATTGAAAGCGTCTTAGAAGCGCATATTGGACCAAAAGGACTACTCAGCAAAGATTGGGATTCAATTATCAAAACAACACTTGAAACGGTAACTGGATCTCGATCCCGACGATCCATTGCAGATGAGAGTAACAACTTTGCTAAGAAATATAAAAATTATGGTTCTAAAAGTAGTCAAGATATTAACTTAGATTTGTCATTAAAACTTTTTGGATCAGAAATAATGTTTTTGAGCTTTGATGACAATGTGCCAACAACACTGCCAGATCTTATAAAATATTTCGCAGCAGGCCTTGAAAAGGTCAAGCAGGAATTGAGTTCATTCCATAAAGAATTTTTAGTTCATTCTCTATTCTTAGATGCTGAACTCACTTATCCTACGGGCTTAGGTGTTCCTCTGGAAATAGCAGCACAAGGTTTTGCAGCTAACAAATTAGATTTTGGAATTGGTGTTGATGTGGATACCATATTTGAAGATAGTTGGAAAGCTGTGAACTACAGACTAAAAGTTGTGCCTAGCGTAGACATAAATTTGAATGTTAAATTTGGTTTTAATGCTCATGTAATGTCAACAGGACTGCAGGTATCAACTAATTTACACTCAGCAGCTGGAAGTGATGTAAGCTTCAGTTTTATAAATGAAGGAAATGGTTTTAATGTTGATATAGAACTGCCTCGTGAAAAATTAGAACTTGTTAATTTGCAAATAGTTACCGATTTTTACGTTGCTGAACAGGATAAACCTATTGAAAACATTAAACCAAAAGGTATCAGAAAAGAACAAACTCCACCACCTGTTCACTGTTTTGATCAGTTAGAAAGCTATGTTGGCGTAAACGTTTGTGTATCGAGTTTTCTAGATGAAAAATTAAGTACAAAACTAATTGATATAACCCAACCATATCAATTTAACATTTATGTAACTAGTGAACGTAAAATAAATATTAAGGGATACCATGATGAACAAGCCCAGGGTGGTCAACAATGGAAATTAGACTTCAGTACTCCTGGCTCAAAGGTTAATCATGATACATCAGTGACGCTTGAATTGTCAACTACACCTAAAATATTTGGTCGTCTCACTTTGAATAACCCAAATTATCATTTATCTTTAGAGGCCGGAATCAGCAATACAAATAAAGAGTTGGTATATTACACTCGAATGGAACAAGATGGAAATGTTAAATATAATAAGCTTGGGTTTGAAAAAAATGGAAATAATTATATTCCAAAAATTCAAGTGGGAGATAAAAACGATATATATGGCTATCGTGCAGATGGTAAAGTCATAGTTGAAAAGGTCTCAGACACAAACACACGATATACGTTTGATAAGTTACAAGTATCCAACAATGCCAATGAACATGTCGTTATGAATGGTTGGACAGAATTAGGTCCATCACATCTATCCTCTGAAGTTCATATTTCACCTGGAGAACAAAAATATTTTATAAAAAGCAAATTTAATGTCGATAAAGAACTTTATAATCTTGCTTTGTTTGTTAATAACGAAGATACTCCTGAAAATGTTATTGGTGGTTCAATCGAAGTGAAACACGATCCTCAAGACTTATCACTAAATTTGGTTCTTAAAGCCTTAACCTGGGAAATTGAGTCCGTAAACAAATATAGTTATGTACCGTCAGAATCTGAATCAGCTGAATCACCAATAACATCCACAAGCTTTAATAATTTATTCAATGTTAAAAAAAAACAAAATCTTGTCGGATCGCTTAAAATAAATGGTTTAATTGCATCTGATAAATGTCAGCTTAATATAGATATTGAACGCAGTAAAGGTCGTTTAGCATCATTAGCCGTTAAATATAATGAGAATCCAAACAGTCCCGACTCGCTACGTAAGTTAAAAAAAAGTATTTTATTTCGTAGAACAACCTACTACTTATTTACTTATAAATCAAGAAACCGTTGCTTTATCTTCTTTTAGATTTGCAATTTTTAACCAAATTAAATACGGATTTATAATTTTAGAATAGTTTTAAGCAAAATTAAAAAGTTCGTATGGTTACTTTTGGCTCGATCCTATATATACGAGTATCAATCCAATTGTATGTAAATATCAATTATCCTTGTACCCAACTTTTCCCTGTAGCTGATTATTTTTCATGTATTACCTTTTTAGCGGTTATTACCTGTATGAAGAAAAAAAAAGGTTAAAACATTTTCGAATTGGGAGAAACAATTGCTTGATTGAAAAATTTATTCAATAGCAAATTGATTAATTGTTCTTGCTTCGGCAAGTATATATACTATGTACTAATATACTAAGCTTTACCAAAGGTTCTAAGTATTTTTAACCCTTAGGTTTTTAATAATACGATAGCAGCATTGTGCTAGCTATAGGTTTAAGTGGATCCCTTGAGATCACCGGTATAACCTAACCTAACCAAAAGTGATTAGTTAACTGTGAAATAATATTATTCGCGTTAATTCTATTTTATTTTAAACACTAAAATGTTGTAAAATGTCTTTCATTATTTTTAGGGAGTCATAATAATACTTGCAAAATAAAAAACATGTTAATTCCATAATATCATAAAGCATATTATATTGCAAAAGAAAGCACATTTTCACCTTCTAGTTTATCAGTTCTAGTTTACCCATTTATAAAATGAGACACCATTTTCGAATCTAAAAATGATGTCTCATATTCCAAACTAAAAGTTAGTTTTGTGAATCAAATAAAAATACTATTTTCGTAGTATTTTCATACTTATACTTTTTAGGTTTTTAGGTATAAGGCATAAGTATGATTATAGAAGATATGTTAGATAGAAGAGTACGATTAGAATATTACAATATTATTATTGCTAAACTAAATATATACTTTTTAACCGTTGCAGTCTTTGATTACCGTTTGGATATAAATGCAAAACTTAATAAACATTCTATTGATATTATGTCTAAATGTTCAAATAATGGAAACCGCAATACAATTGATAATATTCTAACCACTAGCTGGGGTACGGCTTTAACAGTCAAGGTATGCTATGGTATATTTAAAACTCACAGAAGTCCGAATAATATTTTATCTTTGTAGGGCGAACTCGGACAACGATATACGCTTAAAGATGTGTTTATAGATCTTCAAGGCAATATAAAACTTAGTGGCAAGGAGAAACAAACTCAATGGACTTTGAACGTTATTGGCACTCCAGAAAAACTAAACACAGAAGTTAAGATAATGCGAGACAATGCTGAGCTTGTCAAATGCAGTGCGGACGTTAATATTCAAGATAAGATGACTGCTGGAAAAGTAAACTTGAATGTTAAGAATGCTTTTACTACAAAGGCAGATTTCAAAATAAATAAGAATGGTAAAGGAGATGTGACAGCTGTGGTTGAAACACAAAAGACTGAACCAAAACATAAGATTGAAATTGCCTCAAAGTTCACCATTCAGTCGCCGAAATTTGATGTAGAGACCTCTATCATATTTGATTCAAATAAAAAGTTCAATTTCAAAACGGAAAATATATTAGATAAACAGAAGCTCACTACAAAAAATATCGCAGAAATCGGTGACAAGAAAATTACATTTGATGCAAATGCATCTGTCAGAGGTGAATGGCAATTAAACGGTGAAGTTCAAGCCAATTTTGTATTAAAATGTCCAGATGGGCATACAATAGATGGTTTAGTAAAACGTAAAGTTCTTACAAATCCTAAAACCGGCTTAGCACAAGGTAACATGGAAATTTCATTAAATGACGCGCGTGGTGACAAGAAGGCTTCTTTTAGCATTAATGGAAATTTGGAGAAATATAGCGTTAAATCTAAAGAAGTTGTGGCAAACGCTCATTTAATTTTCACTAATTATGATAACAAGAAACTTGATGTAACTTATGGTATAAAACACCTTGTAAAAGATGATCATTTTAAAATGCTTGAACTTGGCATTGTTTCCCAAGGGGATCTATTCAAATCTCAACATGACTTGAAGATAAATATAGATGAGTATAACAAGCAAAGCGCAAAATTCCGAGTAAATGCTAAATGTAGCGAAAACATTCAATTAAGTGTTAAAGGCAATTATAATTTGGCCCAGGAAGGTGAACCAACTACATTTGACATAGAGACTGTTGTACAAGCACCAAATTCACAATTTAAAACGTTTGGAGTTAATGCAAACGGAAAGTTGTTGAAGCCGGTTGCCGAAAAGGATGGTAACTATATTGCTCACTTGGTGCTGGACCAAAAACAGGGTACTGGGCAATTCTTTAAATTAAGTTCGCTGTTAGAAGGTAGTCGCAATGACGGAAATTATAATTTGATTCTGGAAACAAATAAAATGCAAGGACCTTTAAAAATTAGCACCACCTTCAAACGTGAACAAACAGTAAATTTGGATGATGGAGTAGCAAGTGGCAAACAAAATTATTCTTTCAACTATGAGTATGCGAATAAATTTGTCAAGTCATCTTCTGATATAAATTTCGTTGCACCCAACTTTGCCGCAGTTCACTTTACTATAGATAGCAGTTTCGATTCTTTTAATGAAATCGATGCAGAAATTGAAATGAAAAAACTTGATGAAAGTAACTATGCAATGAATGTTAAATTTAAACAGCATCAAGATATACACAAAATTGACTCGAAATGGTATCACTCTACAAACAAAAATGGTTTCGATATACAAATTGCGCTTCCTAGTGGAAAACCTATTACACTCGTCGGATTGTTTGAAATTTTAGGGGAAAAGAAAGCTAAGCTCTCTGTTGAACTAGAAAATGTTATTAATTTAGATTTTAAAGCTAATGCTGAAGCAGCTTATAAGTCTGTTGATGATTTTTATATTTTAGCTCAGTGGAGTTCGAATAAATTAAAACTTCAAGACTATAATTTAAATATTCAAGCACAATCGAAAAGTATTGCTCTTAGTCTAAAACATGCGCAAGGTGTTGTTTTCTCCGGTTCTGCAACTTACCAACTTAAAAAGGAAACTAATAAATCTATAATTGAAGGCCAAGGGCAAGTCCAATATAATGGTAAGAATGAAAATGTTAACTTCAAACTCATCCGACAAATGTACGAATTAGAGAACGACAGAGAATTCGGATTTTCCTACACGCTTAATAGCAACTTTGGTCCTCTAAATGGAGTGTCTACGATAAAAATAACAAATAAGGAATACAATGTTAAATTATCAGTCTGCGAAGAAAAGAAACAATGTAATAATATTCAATTACAGTCTTTAGTGTCAGTTGATGAAAAAGAACTTGATTCACTACAACACTCTATTTTAATATTGATTGATTTACGACAACTTGGTTATCCCTATGAATTTGAGTTCCAATCTAAAACCTTGAGAAAAGGTATGAAATTCCAGTATAACTTAGATTCAAAAATTCTTTCGAATAACAACTACAAATATCAACTGATTGCCAGCGTGGTTCCTAACAATTCTAAGATACAAATAATTTTACCAAATCGTGAAATACTTTATAGTTCAACTCAACAATTCCCAGCTAATGGAGCACTTTTTGGTCATTATGAGAGTTCAAATTCATTTTATTTCGATAAACTTAATAAGCCTGATGATGTTACACGTGTGGTGTTTATCACTGATATAAGTGGGGTTCAAAACGTTGCTATAAATGCCAAAGGTAATCTTAAGTTTGAACATCCTAGTACGCGAACTTTGAGTCTTTCCGGAAAGTTAGATGCAAATCGTGAAACACAACTTATTGATGCTGAACTAGTATTTGATATATTCCGTCTTCCCGAACAACAAATCGTTGCCAGCAGTCGCACGCAAAATACGGTAAATGGTAAGGGTTTCAACATTACGACCAGTCATATGGTACGTTCTGCTGGATTAGGATTGCAGTATGATTTATCAGGTTATACGGCATTCGCACCTGAACTAAGAGCATTAAGTGCAGGAGTAGATATGCATGGAGGAGCAAACGATCTACAAGGTAGTATTTACTTATATGCCAGCAAGGACAATGCAGAGGCTTCAATTTATGCCATGAACGAACATATTTTGCACGCCAAAACCGAATTTAATCACCAAAACTATGCCATGAAATTTGATTCAAAACTACAATTTTTGAGTCAAAAACCTGTTGCAGTAGTTGCAGATTTGCAACCGACATTTGCAAAGATTGTTTTGAATAGACCAGATCTCTTTGATGCTAGTGTGGAACTCAAGTTGGGAAAAAATTTGAAATTTAATGTAGATACCGCTGGAAAGCAACTTATTACTGGGCAAATTGCTTTAGATTCAACGAATTTCCTGCAGACTTCATATCAAAGCAATCCGGATGACATTAAGTTATTCATGGTAAGATAAACTTAGTAGTTCATTTCATATATATATATATAATTTCCCATATTATCAAACTTACACATTGATCACGAACATTCGAGAATTATATTTATATTTTGAAATAAATTATTTCTTTATGTTGAATTTTTATATGTGTGATTCTCGTTTACCTATTAAAGGAAAAAGCTGAACTTGAAATTAAAAAGGATACGGAAGCTGCACGCGAAAATATTATACATCGATTCCAAAAGCTTCGAGAAGTTTTTGGTAGACAGGCACAGTTAGCCAAAGAAAGTGTTCCAGATTTTACTGAGTTAAGTAAAGCTTACCAAAATAATATAAACGATATTGCACAGGAGTTAGAAAGTGATCCAACACTAAAACAATTTGCTGAGTCTTAGTAAGTAAATTTAAGCATATTATAATACAATTATTTCAAAGTTTCATTTTATTACATATTTGAAGCCGCAAGCTATACAAGGAACTTTCGAAAACCGCTGAAGGAATCGCTCACACAACTGCAGAAATATATAAACAGCTTTATGAAAACTTAAATGCTCTTTATGAAAAATGGGAAATAATTATGAATGAATCAATTATTCCAGTTTGGGAATCATTGGTAGTCAATATTAATGAAGTTGTTGGACAATTACGCATTGAAATATCTAACTATTACACCAAAATTTCGGAATATACTCTGAAGTTACTTGAGCGCTATGGACCAGAACTAAAGAATTACACTAAATCTTTGAATGAAGCTTTGAAACCCTTTAATGAATTTATTCACGAGCTGTCTAAAACTATTATTCATGCCAGTGAAGAAATATTACAAGAAATACAAGAATACATTGTTAACTTACCGACATTTGATGCAATTCGTAATGAACTAAAGGAACAATTTGAAAAACTAAAAGTCTCGGAAAAAGTCATCAAATGGATTAGTGATGTGTTTGAACATCTGCACATTTTACCTCAAACGGAAGAGACTCAAGAATTTCTTCAAAAACTGAAGGAATATATAAATATGAAACTACGGCAAGAGCCAACACAAGATGAAGCTCAAATTGAGGAACTAGTTAAGTTGCTTCTTAAAGCTCTTAGATCTATTTACGATACGTTAGAGTTGTCTAAAAGTGTAAAATTGACGAACTATGGATTAGATTCTGTGCTTCCTACACTACCTTATGTTGCAGATATTTTGAACAAGCTGCCAGCATTGCTGACCTTCCGGGTAAGCGTTTTCAATTCAATACTCAATGAAAATTGGGAAAATATTCTGCGCTTGGACTTTTTCCAATCTTGGATATTATTCAAAGATTTTAATCTTAAGGGGCTCATTGCTGATGGCCATCATATCTTCACTTTTGATGGTCAACACTTCTCATATCCTGGAACTTGTAAATTCATTTTAGCTCAAGACAGCGTAAACAATAACTTCACTGTTGTTGCTCAACTAAATAACGGCAAATTGAAATCAATAATTTTGGCTGACCGTGATGGTAACTTTTTGGAGTTAAGTGACACAGGCGCACTTAAATTTAACGGCAACTTTGTCGAATTCCCGTTACATAGTGTTGATATGCATGCATGGCGTACATATAGCAATATTTGGCTTCGTTCTTCTTATGGCGTCGAGATTATGTGTACAAATGATTTAAAACTTTGCCACGTCAACGTTAATGGTTTTTATACAAGCAAGACTCGTGGACTTCTTGGTAATGGAAATGCTGAGCCTGAAGATGATTTTATTCAAGTAGATGGTACTATAGCTGCTAATTATGTGACATTCAGTAATAATTATGCTTTGGGTAAATGTCAAACTGTCCCAAAACGTGCTGACGTAATTGAGCACACGGACTTGTGCAATAAAATATTTGGCTTGGATTCACCATTAGCACTTGGTTATATATTTGAAAATAACTTACCCTATCGTAAAGCTTGTGACATAGCTGTAACGGATGCCGCAGAAAAAGAAAAGGAAACAGCAGCATGCACAATTGCTTCAGCTTATGGTTCTACTCTTCAATCGAAGGAACATATCATAATGTTACCTCCACAATGTCTTAAGTGTTCAGGAGCTGCCGGTCAACGTGACTTGGGCTCAGAATTTACTGTGAAATTACCTAATAAACAAGCCGATGTAGTTTTCGTCATTGATGTAGATGTATCGCCTGCCGTATTAAATAATCTTGTAGCTCCTGCCGTAACGGAAATACGTGAGACACTTAAAACACGCGGATTTAATGATGTGCAAATCAGTGTTGTAGCTTATAACGAGTCAGAACGATATCCAGCTTTACTCACAAGTGGTAAAGGAAAAGTAAATTACCAGGGTAGTATTGTCGACTTGCAACTCAACGGGCCGAAGAATTCAAATTTAAGAAGTCTGATAACTGATGTGGTCGATGAGAAAAACATTTTAGATTTATACGACATTATTGAACGTATTGTAAAACATGTTGTTCCGCAATCAGATTCAAAAGCTTTTAACCTGGCTCTTCAATACCCATTCAGATCTGGCGCAGTAAAAAGTATTATTGCAATTCGAAGTCAGCCATTAGAATTTGGAAATATGGTAAGATATATGAGAAATACATTAAAATTAATAATAAATAATATTCATTTTTAATCACAGTTCAAATTTGTACGAGCACACCTCACTGAAGCAGTCACAAATTTCGATGGTGCTTTTGTGCATCTTCTTAGCCCTGTTAACAAAATGTCACTTGAAGGCGTGGCGGATGAAAAATTAATCGGTATGTTTTGGATGTAGTTTTTTAAGAAGTTTATACTTAAAAATGTTAAACACATTTATTTCAGGCTTTAACTCAAGACTTGTTGCAACGGTTGACGGAAAAGATGCTAAAAAGCGATCGAAGCTACAATTCGAAAATAACTTAGGAATTGATGTCGTGTTAAATAATGGTGGATGGATATTTAATACGCAAAACTTCGACACGCTAAACCCGCAAGATAAAAAGAAAATGTTAAATCAGGTTACGAACTCAATAGCCGACACACTTTTTAAAACGGATATAGTTAGTGAATGTAAGTGTTTACCAGTACTTGGATTATATGCTCAGCATAAATGTTCCATAAAATCTTCCACATTTTTGCCAAACAAAAAGATTAAAGCTACATAAAAATATCATTCAAAAACAAACATTAAATAAAATATTAAGAAACAAATAAATAATTAAAAAAATTATAAGTAGTTTTCTTTATTTAAGAACACTAACAATAAGATTTTGGCGACGGTCAAATCATATTGATACTAATAATAGAGATTTCGCTATTTGAAAGTCTGTAACGACACGGATTTTCCCGTTTCGTTATAATTTATGCTGGGGTATCCTCAGTCTTTTCCAGGGGGTCGCTACAATAAATTTATATTCGCGGAGACAGGACTTCTCAAAATAAAAGTAATGTGTGTTAAATTTTAAATGTAGATTTATTTAAAATATTTTTAATTCATAAAAATAGTATTTAAAAAAAAGGAATTTAGTTAAACGTAATTATGTAAACTTGAGATTACTAATGTGTACAATTCAATGACATAGTATTTTTTAAAAAAAAAAAAAAAAAAAACAAAGTAAATTCATTAAACGTGATTAAACTTGAGAAACTTGAGATTATTTCCTGGTATTCTGCTGTATCTGGAGATTGTTCCTTTGGAGCTCGGTGATCTCTAATCTGGTTCCGTGGTTTGTATCTTCGTATGATTACTTGCTCAATGCGTACCTGTGTGGGACAGAAGGGTTAGTGTATATATAAAAAAAATATATTTCCTTGTTCGGTTATAGAATATCTATACAATAGTGTCCAAGTGTCTTGACTTAAAACCGCCCATGCACTTGTACACAATTATATATATATTTTAGTAATTTATACAACTAGGCTTAAAACCGCCACTGTGTCAGACAATATTTTTTTATATTTATTTATTTTATATTTTGACATACAATGCCACCGAGTGATCATACAAGACTCACTACTCTTACCAAAAATGCGTCGTCTTTTATACAGATCAGACGAGCTTTTTGTGTAGCGCACATACAATTGTTTTCTGCTGTTTTGTGAAGTTTTGTTTACTTTCCCGTTTGTATGTCTGACTTTCGTACTGTTCTTCAAGTTGTGCGCTCAACCGATCTCGTCTATCTCTTTGCGGCGAATTTCTATTTTGACGTTTTTGATATTTGCTTGTTATGTTTTGATTTGATAATTCTTGTAACTTTGCGTGCGGTGCTTCTTGTTTTTATTAAATTATTTATAATTTAATTTTATAATTATAAAAAATAATTTATTAGAAAATTATTTAAATAAATTTGCGGGGATGAACAAAGAAGGTATGTATTTATTATTTTATTAAGATATATTTCTCTATTTATTACAAATTTATTATCTCCTAATTTCAGATTGCTTCACGTGTTGCAGTTGCGTGCAGGCTGGGTAGCTTTTTGGTAAGTAGTTTCTAATAACTATGTTAAATGTTAATTTATCTATTTTAATTTCAGATTTCTTCGAAATTTATTTAAATTTATGTAGGTTGGAAATTATTACAAATTTCCATCCTCACATTTCCCTCCTTCTTTGAGAAAAAAAATGAACTTGCCGCGATGCACTACCTGCATGCATAATTCCTGTGCCGTTTCTTTGGGCTCTTGAATACTTTGAAAAATTTGTCTTGGTCTGTACTAACAAGATCATAATCCTTCTGCTGAAGTACATCTAAGTTATTCATCGGCTTCTGCAGTTTTTGGGTGCTGAATGGTTTTGGAATTCTTAGGCTTAGTTCCTGTACTTGTATCAGAGGATTGTCTATCTTATCCTTCGGACGTGTGGAATCATCTTTTCCTTCTTGTGACTCTTGCTTTCGTTGACTATCGTGTTTAATTGAAACTTGTTGCAATGATTGTGTCGGACTTGGGGTTTCTTGAGTCAATCGAACTCGTTTGTTATGATTTTCGCTGACTGTAACCTTTTGTTGACCTTGTTGTGTTTCAATATCTTGAACTTTCTGTGGTTTTACGTGCCCTTTTGTATCCTGAATTTGTACTTGTGTTTTATGGTAATTTTTCGTTGCATTGATTCTTTGTAGATTTTCTTCGATAAATCTTGGTTTTATCTGGCTTTGTAGTTTTTGTATTTCAACTGGTACTATTTCACGGTTTGGTGTGACTTGCTGTTGAATAGATACTTTGAGATTTTGTTTAATGGGTCTTGAATTTTGTTCTGGTTTGCATGCTTGGATTTGGAACTGATTTGGACGTTTAACTTTTGTAACTTGATCCTGATTGAACGATTTTCGGTTTTCTTTGATTGACGTGACACGTTGCAGTGTTTGGTGTACTGATACTTGCTTCGTTTGACTTTGAAATATTTCCTGATCTGGTGTAACTCGTGTTGGCTTAAATACTTCGGGATTCTTCTTTGTCAGTTTTGGATTTACTTGTCGTTGTGTTTCTTGCATCTGTGAATTTCCTCTGATGGGCCTAATATTTTGTGATTCTTGCTTTGGTTCGCATGGTTGGACTTGGAACATTTGTTGACCTTGCGTGTCTAGCTGTTGATTACATACTTCTGTAATTTTTCTGTCAGGCCTTGGATCTTGCGGCGGGGTTATGCGGCATTTACATAACGCTTGTTCTTGTGAATTTCCGTGTAGTGGTACTGGGTGTTGTTCTAAATAACTTCGACGTTGCGTGGTTTGTGTCAACATGCTTAGCTTGGGTAGTGTTGATGTTACTGGATTTACAATTTTAGCTTTTGCTGTTGTTACTTGCTTCGGTTGGTTTTGTTGCTGATTACTTCGCTGCTGGATGAGTATAGGCGACTCGGAATTTGAACTGGAAATAACTTTGTCCTGTATCGGCGTGGTAGGGACGTGTCTCACTGTATTTTTTAATAGCATCGTTTGTGGATATTCAACTTCTATGCGACCAACTATCACTTCCTGTCGAACACCGCCTCGACTCACTTTATCCTGTTCTGCGCGAAGTTCTTCGAAGTCATCAGCTAGTATTGTTAATTCTGTTAAGCTCGAAAAGTCTCGACGTTTGATGTACATTTGGTACTCTGTGCGCATGTTGTGGTATATTTGCTCCAATTGCGAATCTTGGTTTATGCCTGTGTGTCGCATAAGATATTTGATTTCCAGTACATAATCTTTAAAACTTTCATGTTCCTTCTGAACTCGTGCTCGCACCTCGTCTTCTAATCTGTCGAAATACCTATGTGGAAGGAAAAATCTTAGAAAGTCCATCTTGAAGCTTGACCAAAGGTTCCAATGCTTATTGTTATTGCGGTACCACATCAGTGCTTTGTCTTCAAGCAGTATGGGCATCATCCTGGGAACTAAATTCACGTTGATGTCGTCAAGGTCTGCCACCTCTTCTATGCTTTCCACAAAATCTATTGGATCTATTCCTCCATTGTACTTTACAGACCATTTTCGTATCCGCTCCACGCTTTGAGCATACGATAAGGCCATGATGTGCTGCTTATGCGAACGTCTTGTATGTTTCTCTGTTGAACTGGCTTGAATTGAACTATGAGCGAGAGTATCTAGATTTTATCTTATAATCATGTTTGCCTGTGCCATTGTAACGTGGATATTACTTCGTTTTAAGTTTGAGAAGTCTGTCTGTCCCTGCTCGGGCGCCAATTGTAACGACACGGATTTTCCCGTTTCGTTATAATTTATGCTGGGGTATCCTCAGTCTTTTCCAGGGGGTCGCTACAATAAATTTATATTCGCGGAGACAGGACTTCTCAAAATAAAAGTAATGTGTGTTAAATTTTAAATGTAGATTTATTTAAAATATTATTAATTCATGAAAATAGTATTTAAAAAAAAGGAATTTAGTTAAACGTAATTATGTAAACTTGAGATTACTAATGTGTACAATTCAATGACATAGTATTTTTTAAAAAAAAAAAAAAAAAAAACAAAGTAAATTCATTAAACGTGATTAAACTTGAGAAACTTGAGATTATTTCCTGGTATTCTGCTGTATCTGGAGATTGTTCCTTTGGAGCTCGGTGATCTCTAATCTGGTTCCGTGGTTTGTATCTTCGTATGATTACTTGCTCAATGCGTACCTGTGTGGGACAGAAGGGTTAGTGTATATATAAAAAAAATATATTTCCTTGTTCGGTTATAGAATATCTATACAATAGTGTCCAAGTGTCTTGACTTAAAACCGCCCATGCACTTGTACACAATTATATATATATTTTAGTAATTTATACAACTAGGCTTAAAACCGCCACTGTGTCAGACAATATTTTTTATATTTATTTATTTTATATTTTGACATACAATGCCACCGAGTGATCATACAAGACTCACTACCCTTACCAAAAATGCGTCGTCTTTTATACAGATCAGACGAGCTTTTTGTGTAGCGCACATACAATTGTTTTCTGCTGTTTTGTGAAGTTTTGTTTACTTTCCCGTTTGTATGTCTTACTTTCGTACTGTTCTTCAAGTTGTGCGCTCAACCGATCTCGTCTATCTCTTTGCGGCGAATTTCTATTTTGACGTTTTTGATATTTGCTTGTTATGTTTTGATTTGATAATTCTTGTAACTTTGCGTGCGGTGCTTCTTGTTTTTATTAAATTATTTATAATTTAATTTTATAATTATAAAAAATAATTTATTAGAAAATTATTTAAATAAATTTGCGGGGATGAACAAAGAAGGTATGTATTTATTATTTTATTAAGATATATTTCTCTATTTATTACAAATTTATTATCTCCTAATTGCAGATTGCTTCACGTGTTGCAGTTGCGTGCAGGCTGGGTAGCTTTTTGGTAAGTAGTTTCTAATAACTATGTTAAATGTTAATTTATCTATTTTAATTTCAGATTTCTTCGAAATTTATTTAAATTTATGTAGGTTGGAAATTATTACAAATTTCCATCCTCACAAGTCTTCTTTTTTTTACTCGTGCACGGTGTTGTGTGAGTCTATATTGCAACTGCCAGTCATGGCATGTCTTAGGATTAAATTTTGCTTTCTTTTTTTAATCGCCATTTTTGTCTGATAGGGTTTATTTATGAAGCCATTCTTCCCTTCCACGGTTTAATCAACAATTTTATTAAATAAATTTAAACCAATATTTTCAAACTCTGAAGTTGACTTTTTAAACCTACTGAAGTTTATAATTGGTAATATATAAGAAAATAAACTCTAGAATTTTTCACAATTTTTACATATTGTTCGTTGCATCTAGCTATATTTATAAAGTGGCCGACCACTCGTATGCCGATTCATTGATGCATGTTTCCTATCAATTCCTACCAATTTTTCTCTGAATAATCATTTGGAGTACCTTTTATATTGGATTTCTTATGATATGCCATAGGTAGGTTGTTTTCCTTTTTTTATAGTTGTTAACAATTCTTAAAACTTTATTGTTTGTAACATGATCCGTCCATGGAATTTTGAGATTTCTTCGAAAAATCCATAACTGAAATGCGTCGAGCTTGTTAATATCAACAATTTTTCAAAACTAAATATAAAAATATTTGGTTGTGATTACCCCCACCGTTGTGTACGCTGCGTTGAGTCCCACCCTCGCAGCGAGTGTCAACTTCCTCCTACAACTTTTGACTCCAGCGGCTAGACTGGTCATCTGGCCAATTACCGCTGCTCCAAATACAAGGAGCTGAGTTCTCTTCGTCCCAATAACACTCGTGCTCAAAAAATCCCTCTCCCCCCCCTCATGTCTATTGACTTGAGGGCTCCAACAAATTTCGTGAGAAATGGCGTCTCATTCGCCTCTGCGGATGCAACCCCTAAACCCATTTCGCTGTCTAAGGCAGCTAAACCTTCCTCTATCCGTTGCTCCTGAGCCTGACTCCTTTCTCCCTGATATTCAGGGATTCTTCGCCTTTGTTGCAGGCATTAAACAACAGTATAGCCTTTTGCTCCATTCTGACAAAAAAGTCTTTCTTGTCCAGAAAGTCCTTGAATTGGCATTGAGATGAATGATCTAAGCATCATTCTCATTAATGTCAATTCTATACACTCCAATCTTAGGCGTATTCTTTTCGCAGATTTTGCTGAACGCAACAACTCCCACATCATCCTTGTGACTTGACTGAAACACGTCTCAATATGAGAGACATTGTAGACGTCAGAGAATATAATTTTATCCGGTTCGATAGGGACGGCGTCGGTGGGGGAGTCGCCATTTCGGCAAAAGACTCCCTCCAGTTTTCTAGGAATGACCTCCCTTCACTTGTTTCTCCTAAGGCGGTTGGTATTACTCTTTCTCTCTCCAACTGCCCTGATCTCAACATCTTTTGCATCTACCACACACTCTTTATTGCTTCTTCCATTTACTCTTCTTTGTCTCCTAACCTTTTCCTTATCGGTATTGACTTTAATAGTAAGTACCCCTTTTGGAATAAATCTGCCTCTTGTTTTAGTAGCACTAGGCTCTTCAACTGGCTGACAAGTAGCTCAGTAAGCCCTATTCTAAGTGTGGTGGCTTCCTCAGTTCCGATTCATGCCAATAGTATCATTGACTTTTTCTTAGCGGGATATCTGATCACCAAGCGGTAAGGCTTGCGCTTCACGACTGCAGAGTTGCCCTGACTGCTCTCGCACATTTTTTAACATTCCCAGCACCAACAGATCGGAGTTCAACCTCACTTTCGACCAGCTCTTTTTTAATTTGAGCATCCCCGAACATAGAAACGTGACTCCTATGGAGATCGATTTTGCTCCCCGTACTCTTGAAAGCATCTTTGCCTCCACAATTGATGAGCATGTTCCGAACGTGCGTGTTCTCAAATTTTATCAAGTTCCACTTGATGCTTTCACCCTTCATCGCATTAAACTGAGGAAATCGCTTCGCCGCAGAACTTATTGCCTTAGACAGGTGGCTTAAAGCGCCTAAAAAGTCATCTGGCACTGACTGTGCGTTTCTCCACTTTTTTTTTAAAATGCGCCATGCTCTTCAACCATGCGTACAACACTGGTTCCTTCCCCCAGCCATAGAGGAATGCCATAGTATGTCCCATTGCTGAAAGTGGCAAACTCAAAGCTGACCCCTTCCGCTATCGTCCCATCTCCCTCCTTAACTCTGTCAGTAAGGTCAATAAGACTTTCATAGCAAGCAAGCTGAAGTCCTTCTCCTTAGGGAATAATATTATTCCTTCTTATCAGTTTGGCTTTACGTGGAAACCTCCACTCTCCATGGCCTGCATCATATTTAAAATGAGATAGGTATAGGCTTTTTCAGTAAGCTGCCCACTGTGGCACTTAGCCTTGACATTGAAAGCCTTTGATATTGTCTGGTTTGAAGGTTTAATTTTAAAGCTTCACCAGTTCAGCTTCTCCTCTACGCTCTGCAGTGTGGTCCACCAATTTCCAACAATGTCCAACAGAACCTTTCAGGTTCGAGTCGATTTCTCTCTGTCTCGTGATTTTCCCATCGATGCCGGCGTCCCCCAGGGCTCGGTTCTTGGACTCCTCTTTTTCAACCTGTTTCTAGCAGACATTTCTCTCCTGCAGGCCCTATTAAGCAAATCTGCTTTGCAGACGACTGCCTTGTCTTCATGCGATCTTCTAATCCTTAAGATCTCTTCTTGACTACTATTTCAGGTGGAAGATTAAACTCAACCTTTCCAAGATTTCTGCCATTGCTTTTCTTGGCCAACAGCGTGATCGCCCCAGAGGTTTTAGCACCTCGAACATTAAGCTTAGGCTTAACAATTTCTCCATTCAGCTTGCCCCCAACTGAAATATCTTGACATTGTTTTCTCATCCCACCATAACTTTATTCCACATGTTGACTATGCCATCCATAACGCACGGTTCAGACACACTCAACTCAATACTCCACCTGAAGACACAACCAGCTTAACTACTAAGCTAAGCTGCTCTGCTATAAGCAGCTTATTCGTTCTCTCCTTACCTATGCTTTCTTTATTTGGTCTGCCATCACTTCTGCTCAGATGAAAAGAATCCGCCTGTTTGAGCGGACACTTCTCCGTGATTGCACCAACTATAAACGCAAGGTTAATGGCAAGCACTTGTCTATCTCCACTCTTTTTGACAATGCCAAGATCATTCGTATTGACGACTACCTCTTGACCCTCGCCTGTAGGTACCTCACTCGGCTCCATGACCTCCCTCTTCTAGTTCAGATACCCTCCCAGTAGACCTTGTTCAAACTTTACGCTTTATACCTCCTCACTACCTATCCCTATCCCATCTATTCTCCTTTACAATCGCGGCTTTCGTGACCCTAGTCACAAAGCTTCTCACTGACCCCACCCCCGCTATCTAGCCGTAACCCCACCTCTTTTATTATTACCATTTCCACTTAGTTCATGCCCTTGCTTTCTGGTTTGGATGAACCTAGTTCACTAGGTATTAAGTCTATCTACTTACTCTCCCCCCTGATTACTGGAATGCAGTTTCCACATTGCTGTGGGAATCTTCTCCATTCATTCCTAAGAGGAACCCACTAAAACGGGTTCAAGTCTCACACTGCGGCATTCGATGCTTTCCACCATCACAACAGCTGACGTAAATACTTATTATTGTAAATTAATTAAATAATTAATTTGGAGGTACACTCCAAAGTATACAGTTTTCTTTAACTTTTTTTATTTATTCTTGGAAAAAATATTTAACGTTATTGAGGCGTTTTGTTTCTATATTGTTGCATTCAATTTTATTTTTTTTATTTCCTAACCAAATTTCTAAGTCTTGTGTTGCTGCCTAGTATACCCTGTGTATACACCCCAGCCTTGGAAAAGGCCGGAAAGGTCATTACAGAACTTGAATACAATTAAAATATCCTTGGTCAGTGGTGATTTGCGATGGCATTCCGAAGTGTATTATCCAGCCATTAATTAGTGCGTTAGTAACTGTTGAAACGTGGATGTGTTTGATGCTGGCCATCTACTAAATCGATCAATACAGGTAAACCAGTATGTATATCCATTTATGGTCCAATGAGGTCGATATGGATTACTGCGAACCGTTGCTCTGGCGTTGTAAAGCTGTCAATTGCAGTTTTGTTGTGCTGATAACCTTTGCACGTTGGGACGAAATGCATGTTCGTACCATTCGAGCGATGTCCTGCTTCATATTTGGCCACACGTACCGCTTAATAAGGAGTTGATAGTGTCAAGATGATTTAGGGATGAATGAATGTGCATTCTTTATTGACATGTCACAGGCGATGGATATTGTTGCGCATGGAATAGGTGCAAATTTGAGTTGCAGCGCAGTATTGCAGTTGGTCAAGAAATCGAGCCAACAATTTAAAATAGAGTTCTTCTTAGCTGATCACTTCGATAAATTGGCCAATGAAATTAAGGTGTCAAAATTGACGTGAAGATGCTTAACCTAGTTTTTGCAGAAACACGTATGTTATGTGATTGGCTTATGATCGGTTAAAACAGTACATTGTCTTCCTTCTAAAATATGTCTGAAATGCTTTACCGACTGATATATTGCAAGAAATTCACTGTCTTAAGTATTATAGCACTTCTGCGTATCAGTCATTCGCTTGGAATATAATCTTAATGATTCCATTTAATCGTTGCGAATGTGGTGAATTGCTGCACCAACGGCGAAGTTACTGGCGTCTACGTGTAGAACTA